TACGAGCAGGTTATATACATATGTATGTCTATATCTATGTATATCTAGATAGATAAATAGATAGATAGATAGAATATCTGTTTATATAGTGGGTAGGTATACCTGCATAGAATAAGATATTACCCCTCCCACAAGAACCAATTTTTGCCCCTTTTGGGGCAACATTGCCTCTGTCGGGAATGCATAGGATAGCACTCACCTTTAAAGGAAGGTGGATGAGAACCAGAAGGGGACGCAGGGGGACTTCCTAGGGCTGTTCATAATTGTTTCTTTATCCTGATGTAGTTACATGTGTGTGTGTTCACATTATGAAAAATTATAGAGCTCTATATTTATGATTTGTTTCCTTTTCTGTGTGTATATTATAGTTCAGTGAAAATTTAACATTAAAAAGTAGATCCAGTACACAAACTGGCATTTATGATATATATAAGATACCATTACATATATATAATGGTATCCCCATGTCTTAATCATTCTTTGATTATTAATGGGGCAGAATATTTTCCATAGACTCATTAGCCATATATGTATTATATATATGACTATTAATAATCAAAGAATGATTAAGACATTGAGGTATCCTTTTTCCCTAATTGACAAAAGTTAAAAAATAATAATACCCAGTTGTTTCAAAGGAGTGAAGAAAAGAGCACTCTCATATACCATTGATAAAGTAAATTAGAGAGCAATTTGAAAAGGCATCAAAAGCAGCCATTTAACTTTGTAACTCTATTTTGAGAAATTTTGTCTTTAAAAACATGAATAAGTATTTAAACTTGAAATAAGTATGTTCAAGAATAATCATTGCAATGAGACTAATAATGAGAAAGTTAGGGAAACAGGTAGTTTCTAACATTCAGAAATTGATTAAACGTATTTGGTGGATTTGTTTAGCATAATATTATTTAGTCATTTGAAATTATAATGAAGTTCTTTAGCACCATGGTCAAGAACAAAAGCTCTGGGATTAAGTTGCTTGAACTCAAATCCTAGTTTCTCCTGTCGACCTAAAGAAAGAAACTGAGGCGAAATTAATATAGAGAGTTCATTTGGCCCGAAATTGAGGACAGCTTCCCAGGACACACTTCCAAGTTGCCTTGGGAAGTGCTTCCTCCCACCTTTGCCACCAACAGGTTTTCAAAGGCAAAGAGGAACAAGGAGTGGGCTGACTCATGGGAATTGTCACTGATATACAGAAATAACATTGGTTAATAATTGGCTATACATTGCTGAACTATAGGTTGTGAACTATAGGATGTCCAGCATATTGTTCTTAATCATTAGCAAATTTGTAAACCCTTCCTCCCAACCATTTATCTTCCTAACAAATTATCTGCTATCATTTAATTTAAATTATCAAGGCTTTTCCTGTGTTTCTTTCTCAAAGATTTGTAGCTAGGTCTAAGAAGTGTAGTTTTTTAACCTGAGCTTTTGAAGAAGGGACCAGCCCAAATATGCAAAATGTCTAAAGTATATTTTAAATAAATATATTCTTTTGGCCTTTTAAGTTGCCTTAAGAATGAGCAGTTTCTAAAAAATTGCTACCAAGTAGAGATCTTAACTTTATCTTAAAAAGAAATTTTAATTAACTTGTTTTTATGTAAATCAATGTAACAAACACGTTTTCAAGCAGTGGATTTGA